CAAATTTCTCACTTATAAGAGGATTGTTTCACAGACCTTGAGAAATGCTTTTGCTCTTACTAATCTCCTTGGTAGCCCTGAATGTCACTTGAACATCTGGCAGCCCTTAGTTTTGTGAAGCAGCTGCTTTAAATCTTCTGCTTGCTGGAGGATAGTGTGGAATACTGTTGTCTCCTCTGCCTCCAAGTTATACCCCCTGCTGCATAAGAATGGGAGAGAGCAGCGGAGGCAGGAGGGAGCACAAGAGAAAACACTGCAGCAGCTATTGGTGCCCTGCTGGTAAGGACTGTTAGAGAAGCAGGATTTAACACCAGCTCAAATGCAAATCAACTGTTTTTCAGAATTATTTCTCAGCTCCTTTGCCTGACTCCAACATCTGCTCTCCAGAAACACAGCTGTAGCTAGTGTGACACACAGCTGCCCAGCTGGGACTGGTATGTTTCTCCATTCCCTTAAGCACTCAGGATAGAGAAAGCTTTCTGCTTCCTAACAGAGCACTACAAATTCAGTTACTACACACAGACAGAAAGATCAGGGGTTGACAATGCCTGCCTTGCTCCTGCCTTCATTCTAAATCATTCTGCCTACTTAAGAACTCTCAACAGACCTATGTTCATACTCGACTGCAGTTTCTTCCCTTAGCTGTGCAAATGTTGGGCATTCCAAAAAACGCAAGCAGAGGCTCAAGCAGCCTGACAATTGTTTCACTTCAAACTCAGCATCATTAAAGCTTACACAAGTTCTTTAGAAGAAGAATCTTGCCGCAGAACTGGCGAGTAGCAAAGCTGCCCCAGCCAGGAGTTTTAACAGTAAATAGATCTGATGTGCCTCAACTTTAGGGTGTGAAAGTTAAAATTCCTTAAGGCAATTCCTCATTATGCAACTACTGTTAAGAAGTCTGACATTCACGGTTTTAAGGAGGACGCATCTGTTCATACACTAACTTGTAATTGGCTTTTTAATACTTATTCCCACCCCCACTTTATTTCGTTTCTTTCCCCTCCCCAATTATTATCTTACCAAGTGTGTGGCTATTTGTGGAACCACAATCCCAGATACATGTTTTTAAAAAACATTTAGTTAGAACTTATGCTATATACTTTATAACTGGCATGTGGTTAGGCATGGAAACATGGTGATTTGCCTTAAAACCCCCATCCCAAACCAGGAAACAACACCATGAAGTGCTTCTTTTACCTCTGTTACTTCCATTGGTGCCAGGAACAAGATCTGTTACATTAATGTCATGAGCAAAGTCTGAAAAGAAGAAAATATTACTATCAATGTCCCAAACCTGCTATTAGGCTTTCATCTGTTGACTTCATATGAATTAAGTAAGAAAATATTTTGGAAAACTACATCAGAGGTGCAATACAGCAGCTTGTGCTCCCCCCAACTCCAAGTGGGTATTTTAAAGCTTCATTTTATGTGTTTCAAAGTAGATTCCCCACTGCACTACTACAGCCCTGCCCATTTATAAAGTATCCCCTCCTGGTTGCTCATTCCTGTTTCACCAGCACACCTCCCTTGTCTGCAGTGTTGAGCAGTGGTCAGTGAGGAAATGCATCTTAAATCCAGCCACTTTTGGGACAAGAGAAAAAGGGTATGCAAACACATACCCTTAGTCCAGATGGTATTATATAGAAAAAGCTTCCTCTACTCAATTTCTAATTTATTTTTCTTTCAGAATAGACTTTGTGGGATGCTTTTTCCATGTTGTATTTTCAAGAAGGGAAATTTTGGAAAAAGGTTTAGGCTTGACTCTCTACAGGCATCTCAAGTACTATTTTATTTTCAGTACACTCCTGTGCTACCTTCCTGCTTTGCCTCACCAGTTGCCTCTAAATTTCTGCGACTCCACCTGTATGAGAGTATCGGATAGCAATTTTGTCATATTTATGTACATATACACACAAAAATGCCCCATCAGCTTGGAAACTGAATTGGTGAGTCACTGGTTAAATCTGGCTTCTGCTGCATGTGGGTGTATTACGCAGACAGAAAATCAGCTAGGGAAGTTGGGCTCTTATTTTTTAAAATTAATTAACAGCAGCTTATTTCTCATAAAGAAAGCAAAAGGTATCGAGAGAAGAAAATTGTTTTTTCTTTCTTCATTTGATTAATGACACCCTGAATCACAAATGAGTTTCTCATACTTACTTCTATCAGTTCAGTGTGTACAAGAATCAGAAGATTTGACTAAGATCACTGATCATCTCCCCATTGTTTTTTGTTGTGTGTTAAAAAAAGTACCAAGTTAGAAAGCCATTGAAAGAATGGATAGTCCTCATGAAATTAAAGCACTTTAAAATTAGTCACAGATTGCTAGTCGACTTATATTTCTTCTGTACTTAAAATGTGGCTGCATTTGTGGATTTACTTGTTTTACGAAAAAAAAAGCAGAACAAGACCATGAGACACTGTGATTAAAAAGAAAAAAAAAGACATGATACTACACTCAGCTTACAATTCTTGTATTCTTTGTGTACTAGTGATTGCTAGACCATCGTCTCTCAGGAAACCAGTTTGTTCCCACCTAAACAGCATGTGCAGATTTTTAAAAATTCACCTGGATTAGAATTAAATACAGTAACCTGCTGAGAGTACTTAAAAATGCATGGGTGGGAGACACCATTGTGTCAAACTAACATCTTATTATCCATTTTATAACCTAGTAACTAAGTATGAAAGTCAGGACTAGAACCCAATGGTTAGAGTTATCTCAGAGCAAACAAATAAGAACTCTGAACATATATAGATAAGGGATAAAACAACATGCCAATTTCAGGGGAAAGTATGACTTTTTCCTAGAAAAGAAACTGTTTGGATCATATTGAATGTTGCTTGTTAGAACTGGAATAATTTGGTTTAGAATAATTTAGGATTAAAGTGTTAACCTTCTTAAAAAAACCCCCAAAGTCTAAAATGAAACGGCTGTAGCAACATATAAATTAGGTCAGCTGTAGAATAAATCAGTCATTAACCAGTAAAGTAAAGTAAGTCCTTCAGGGACGGTGGGAATTCTAATTAAACATTGTTTAAGAGGTCTAAGTGTCTGTGCTGTTATTTGCCTCAGATTTGTTAACTACCTTCGAAACACAAATGCTTAAATCTTAGTCGCACTATTCAATGCTATGAGTCAAGTTTTCAAAGCTCACAATTCCATCATCCATTCCCACAACTCTACATACCTAATTGATTGCAACCACAAATGCTTACACCCTTGTCTGTGCAAGCACAAGGGTATAAATAACCAATGTGTTTTCTTTCACAGTAATGCCATACTATGGATCCTTTTTTTACTGTGATACAGTTCATTGTTCCTTCAGGAACACTTGCAAAAACTTTCCGTGGGGCAGCACTCAAGTGTGTTTGTTGAAATCTAGAATGAAATTATTTTTTTCATTAACCTGGATCATTTCAACAGTCTAGCCTGTTCTGTGGCTGTTCAAATAGCTACATCCATGCAAACAAAGGGGAAGTGAAGATGCAAACTGGAAACAAGCAAACAAGTTTAGGTTGTTTAAACTACACCAAGAAGCCTCATTAGTGACAGGCAAATGAGATAAATGGTACTTTGTCTCCCATTAAAACCACACTTTGAGAGAGAGATTGAGAAAGTGGCTTTGGAAACATACATGTCTGCGCCCACAACACCACACTGTTACTTATTCTCACTTATTTTTCACACAAAGCAACAGGAAAATCAAGACTACAAAAAATGGACAATCCTCTCTTGGTATAAAGCAAAGTCTTTCCACAAGATTACTGTAAAAATTAAGAAAAGGTATACTTACTGTATATAAACTTCCCTGTGTTGAACAGAAAGTTGGACATAAGCACCCAATAAACAACCATGGCTCCAACAAGTGACACTATAGAAAATAAGAGGCTTGACCACTGTCCAAAGGACCCAAAGTAATACTTGCAAACATCTGGGAATTCCCAGTTCGAGGTATCTGTTAGAGCTGGAAAAGATACAAAAAAACCCCCATATATCTAAATAAAACATTACATTAAAGTCAGTAGAACTATTCATGACAGTCCTGGTTTCAGAATATACTGACACACATTCACAGTGCTTTCAAGGGCTCAGAAGATTGCTGTTAACTCTAATCAAAGAAGTCTGAAGTAGAGACTTGTATTATAGCCATGCTACTATGTTGAGTACTTACAGAAGCACTGGAATAAGATATGGTGGCAAAAATGCCGCCATGCATTTGCAGCTAACGCCTTTTGCAGGAGTTATGGCAAAGTAGACCAGACCACAAACTATTCCTCAACAATGCCCTGAGATGAGTTGTCACAAACTGGAGGTCTTAATGGCCTTTATTTGAGCAAGTGTGATGTTAGTTTATGCATAAAAGCACCAACTACAAGGACTTTAAGATGAGTTGATGACTGCATTCTAATTAGAGCTCCTGTCAGTGAGGGGACTGTCCATAAATTGTTTCCAGCACAAAGTACATACAAATAATAGGGTAATACAGGCATACTACATTAAGTGGATGCAGCTACAGGCCACGCTGCTCAAGTGCACAACTTGATCAGAAACACATGCCAAGAACTGGACAGTGCCTACAGAGGGGAGGAGAAGCCTCTAACTCCCTAAGTCCCCAAACACTTAAAAGTGAACATGTGAAGCCTTACTAGCTAAGAGTTTGGATTTGGCTACAATACTTAGGTCCCAAGAAACTGAAGGGTCATCTAAGAAGGGAAGACAGTCATTTAGCTTACAGAGCTTAGATCCAGGCTACAAAAAAAGAGAGACATTCAAAGGAACAGCTTTTATTTGCAGATCAAGTAAAGACACATATAGAAAAGACACAAACTGAGAACCTATTACAACTCTGAATTTCACACTTAATGGGAATATTTGCATTATAAAGTGTTGGATTTCTTACGTATCATTTGCCGTGATTTCACAACTCTGTAGCAACAATAAAGAGTCAAAATCCCCATGAATAAGGTAAGAATGATTCCAGAGGTGAAACCTGCCTGTTAAGAGAGAGAAATACAGTTTATTTGTTTACAAACTTACTACAGAAAAATGAAGAGCAAGCCATGTTCCCAAAAACATTTTGATACAGTTTTCATAGTTTTACCTGTTTTATTCCCCATGGGATACTTAAAATAGATGTACCCATCATTGTATTCCACATCATAAATCTAGGAAGAAAATAAAAAAATCCAGTGAATAACTTAAGAACTGTTATTTCATACTGTCCTCTTAGTTGCAACACAGAATATTCAATAATAAAATGTTTTCTGGCTAATATATGACAAGGTGCTTAACATACATTGTCACTAGACTGGAGTTTTTACCATAGCCATCTGTGCAAATGTCAACTTTCAAAGCAGTTCCTAATGGACTGTACACATAGATTTCATCAGGAGCTGGGAGTACATGATCAGGAGCAATCTAACAATGGGATAAAAACAAGACTTATTAGTAACACCACAGCAACTGTTGTACCAAATACAGAAAGTCAACAATCTTAAATCACAGCATGTTTCCAGGAAACCACATTAAAAATACTTATTTAAAAGGGTTGTACTACGTTAATTTTCTCCCCAGGGAACAAATAAATGAACAGTTGATATGATTTTTAGTTAGATAGCAGAAAAATGTATTTTTCTTCTACTAAATGTCTGTAAACATACTAGGCATATATCATGCTAGTTCAATAGTTCAATCACTGCAGCTGACCACTGCTTAAACCTTATAGATGGGAGAGATGAGGTCATACATCTGGATCACTGTGAAAAAATTCAAGCTGTTGGTATGTTTTCTTTTAATGATGAAAGCATTGCACAAGAAGTAAATCACAGCTTGCGATAATACAAGGCCTTGTTAAGGCACTCAGCCTTAACATTTAGTTCAAAGCAAGCTGCAGTGTGATTCTCCCCTGACTTCTATTTCTGGTTCTTTTATAAATCTAGGCTGTGGAAGACCCAACACACCAGAGCTCACCCAGTTAACCGTGGCCCTGTCTTTGCCTTACCAAAGCCCTGTCTGCAGGGGATGTGAGCCTGCTGTAGTAATGAATCCTCTTATTCATTGCTGAAGCTTCATCAGTGACTCTTTGTGTGTCACTGTTCACACTGACAATGTTCGTAGGCTCCACATGAAATGGTCTAAAAGAAGGGGAAATAACAGAGGGAAAAAAAAAAAGGACAACCCTTAAAATCCTAAAACACAAGAGCTAACATACAACTTGGAAAACAGCTCAGGAACAGTCACGATGATTCTGTCTTTCACTGACATAAAGCAGATGCAAAAATATCAATGCCATGAGGGAAGCTGCCACCCATGGAAGAACCACGAGTTTTGTATCATCCCTATTAAATTATTCTCCTGCCCTGATTCTGCTGGGCAACCTAACATCAAAATTCAGACCTAACATCCAGTCTGTTAGTTCTCAACAATGAATCACACCAGAAATACATGTTAATAAGCTTGGGCAAGCTTATTAGTGCTTATAACCACTATTGCTGGAACTTGTGATGAGGAACAGAGGTAGAAACAGAAAGCATGAGAATGGAGTAGCAGAAAGAAAACAAAGAGAGGAATTAGAGGTGGTAATGATGACCACCACTACTAATCTAGCCAAAAGCACTGTATGAAATTATGTTTAATGTGGAAGGCACTAAGGCCAAATAAGTCCCCATGCTCATACTATTTTTAAAACAATGCAACAAGGAATGTAATTTGCCTCCCTTCCCCGTTCCCCTCCTGAGTTAGACTGCAGGCACAGCCTTAGCCATCGAAGGAGAAAGCAGGCACACCACACCACACCTCCTTTGTTTTCTACGCACAGAGGTACATAGCAAACAGAGTGAAAGCTGCTCCTGAAGCTAAACATAAATAAATCCATAACACAACATAAATCCAGCTTCATACAAGGGGTAGTACCAGACAACTGTGACCGCATCAAGATATTGCAGACATTTTTATTCAATTAAGTATAATTTGCTCCCATACAGGCATACTGTGCTATTGCTTAAAAACAACATTCACATAAGGCACTGACAGGCTGATTTCTCAAACAAAAGAGAGGATACTGCTGGCCTTTAAGCCTCCATACACTGGGGGCTTACCCTTTCACCAGTGCCTTTAATTTCTAAAACAATCTCAACAGCTTGCTGATCATCTTCTTCCAGGTTGGTGTTTAAATCACTTAGAAACTAGAACCACCCTGAAACCAGGACCCACAAAAGCAGAGATAACAAGCAGTTTCAGACTGCCAAGCACAGCAGTTAGGTCACCAATAAATCCATGCCATTTATCCTGTAATATGAGCAAAATCTCTTCGAACTGGCTGTTTTTTCAATACCCATTTCTGGTTCGGACTACAAAGGAACTCGGTCAACTCCTCCTGCTCCAGCTCTCAATACCATGACAAAGGTCCCATTCTCTTTCCCAGTGAATCATTAAGCATTTGTACCATGACACCACCTTTTATCTGGAAGGAAGACAAGGAATACAGTTCTGAGGCTGTTTGTTCTATCTTTGGAAGATATGAAGGTAGGTCCCTATTCCTGTGTGCTTAAGGGGACACGGTAGGTAAGAGTATTTATGGGACTAAGAATACCTGACTCACAAAAGTAGAAAGAGAACACCAACTTCCTTCTCCACAAATTAATTCTTTCCTTCATCTTAAACTTACTTCTTACATCTTATTTCATCATGGAAAGAAACAGCTTAGATTTGCTAAGTTGTTTCTCACTTACTGAAATTAAAATGAACACCTTAAATTCATGAAATATTCTCAATTGTATCTTTTTTCCTATGACTATAAGGGGGAAACCCCTGTTTTGTGTGTTGTCTTCTGTGGTGTTCTTACAAACAACTAAGAGAGATCTCAATTGAACAGGAATAAATTTTAAGCAATAACTTTATTACTCAAGTCACAGGCACACAGGGCTAATGCAGGTAATGTACAAAAAACCTCGCAGACTGCCAGGTCTGCAGGATTCACTTGTTTTAGCTGAAAATTTAACTGGCTGATCCAATCCCTGGACACAGCTACAGAATATTTCTTTATTAAACCTGTAAAATGAAGACTGTAGGTATGAAAACAGGAAAAGTTGTATGCTTAAATGCCACCTCACTCCCAGTCAGCTCTCTGCTGTTTTCTTTTTGGATCACTGACACACACTATATTTAGAACACCTATATATATGTGTTTTGCTAATTATACAGCAGCTGCATAGTGTGAAGACCTTCCCGAGGAGTCTTTCTCCACCTCCATTTAATATTATTGGTCCAGCCCCATAAGCTTCCATCGCTGCTGTGGAAAGGTTACAGTGAAACAAGGTCTACATTTTACTTCCAAGTGAGTACATCTGTGACAAGGATGTCCTTCGAAATGGTGTTCAACAAGTCCTGGAATGGAGGTCAAAGAAAATTCTCCCAAAGTGCAAGACACTAGGAGATTACTTTTTAAAGTAATTCAAGTTAAAACCATGCATGATTTTAAAATTAAAATCAAAGTAAAGATGAATACAACATCCTGTTTTATGGGGGAAGCAGTGTTGTTAGTCAAAGACCAAGCAAATACCAAGAAAAAAATTAATGTGTAGCAAAACCCTCTCTGTAGGTAAGAAATACTTTAAAGAAAGACATTTGGTTTTCTTCAGTATTATGAACAGGGTCTAGATTAAACAAGCATATGGCATAGCACAAAACAGAAGGGAATGATCCAGCACCTTATCTATGGGTGAGGGGAAAAAAATAAAATTAAACAAACCCAAAGAAATTCTACATCTCTACTGCTGCTGCCTCCTGACCGGAGCAGTGCACACCATGAATGCTGCCAGTACTTGGGCTACTTTCCCCTCCTGATGCCTTCTATTATGCATCTGGAGGGAATTAAAGTGATTTAAAGCAGCAGGTAATTTTTTTTCTTTCAGGCCACCTCTGCACCACTAGCCTTACTAAGCAGGTGACTGACAAATAGACTGTCCACCCACCACGTTTATGTCTGTTGCACATCTCTTTGTAAACATCAGTCTGACTTGGAAGCTATGTGGGCAAGCTGGGATTTGCAACCTTCCTGCGTGATCTCCTATGCTAGGAGAGGACAGCACTGTCTGGGATCAAGGTCATTTCCCCACTCCCAGGAACGCCCAGACCAAAGACTAGTTGTTGTACATACTCCGACAGGAGTCTGAGAAGCTCTCTGTGACACTCAAAGTTCTCAAAGACTTAGGATTTTTAAAGCCCAAAGGAGGTGGGATATAATCTAGGATATATTCTGAAAAGCTCTGTTTAGGGATCTTATGTCTCTAGTGCAGGCAAGCACTCTGTACATAGGCATTTATGTAGGCAATTATATCTCTTAAGTAGCAAAATGATTATGAAAAAGATGTTAGACAACGTGATATGGGAGAAGGGGAGCGGTTACATGACTGCAGGGTGTGACTGTGAAGCAGTGCAGACAATTTCCATGCACTGAGACAGACTATCATGTCCCATGACTTTTATCCATACTAGAAAACACAACAATTAATATTTCATTAGCTAGCCTGAAAAACAATGTTTTTGCCATAGCAAACACACCAGTAAAACAGCTGTTTTCCACAGCACCATGAGTATGGACAACATGCAGGATCTCACGCAGGACATCCACACTTTAGCCACTTTATAAAGCTTACTGCACAAATTCCCCTCACACTCTACATTAATCAGTTACTTTTCAGGGACGTAATATGATTGTTACACAGAAACAAAGGTAGTAAATTTCTGTAGCTTTATTATTGCAGTGAGTTAACAAATTGTTATAGGAATGCTGTCCGTATATGGCAAAGGAGAAACTATGGAGTAAAACTGATTCACTATATTGGAAATTAAAGTAAGGAGAAGTAACAATAAGACTATACTCATGGGTTGCTATTTCATAATTGGGAACTGCCTATCTGGATAGGATACAGGCACTGGAACAGCTCCCCAGGAAAGTGGTCATGGCCTCAAGCCTGACAGAGTTCAAGAAGCATTTGGACAACACACTCAGGCACATGGTGTGATTTTGGGGGCTGTCCTGTGCAGGGCCAGGAGTTGGACTTGAGGTTCCTTGCGGGTCCCTTCCAACTCAGGATATTCTACGATTACAGACATCAGCATGCTTCTCTTAAGGAAACCTGTGCCAAAGAATTATGTGACTGACTTGATTTTTACTTTCCAAGCTGTCTGAATTAACCGAAGCACTGTAAACACTGTGCTTATAGCAATCCCATAAGATCTTCATTCTCTCTGCAATACATTTGACTTAAAATTCTTCCAGATCCATATTAGGAAGTATCTTAAAATGCTGGATGCAGAACCAAAATAACCTTTCAAGCACGACGTTGTTACTTGCACATTTTAACAAGTTAAGAATCACATGCTTTACCACACCACATTTCAATCACTGTTCCCCTCTTCTGTGTCAAAGCTATTCTTCTCTTTCAAAGAAGTAAGAAACTTTTTAATTAAGAAGGTTCTAATTCTTTCCAGTTAGGAAGGAGTAATATTTGGAACTTGTAAAAATGTTAGCAACACAGAAAAATGGAAAGCAAGCCAAGGAGTAAAACGCCCACGTAGGTGGGGAGTGGTGAAGGCACAATGAATGCTGAATGGTAGGTTCTGCACAGGTTACCATCCATCGCATACCTCTCCCTAAGTTAACAGAACCTTGAAAATAAAGGGAATCAACCAGTTTTGTATGCAAAAGGCTTCTCTGACTCTCATCTACAGATACTGTTTAATTTATAACTGTTTAATTTCACCTACTGGTGTCTCCTCCATTGTGAAAACGCTGTGGGGCTTCAAAGAGAATAGAAGGAAGCCAGAAGGTTTGACCTCACTTTAGCAGGAGGCATTGTCAAGGTTTTTATATGCAAAAGAACCAACACAAGACATCAATTGTGTCTTTGAAGGTTCAAGTATTCCTGAAGACAACTGCACTATCTGTTGACACTGAATAGATTTAAAGACCAGTCAGAAGAAAACAATAAACTCCCTCTGTTGCATACAATCATCATCAATAAGCCACTGCAGCAATGACATTCTGGTTTTTAAAAGGACCTACAAAATGGGCAAAACCCATTAAATGCGGTGTGAGTAATTCGGGTCATTGCGAAGAACAATAACATCCTCTTTAAAAGGATTAAAAGTGGATTTATATTTCCCCCAAATTAGCAAAACAATACTAGACAAAATAATTTACAACTCTAAAAAACAATTAGCTTATTGTTCTTATGTAAACGCCGAAGACCATGCCTTTCAAAAACTTCAAATCCTCCAAGCTGTTAAGAAAACCAAATAACTATGCAAATGCCATCAAATCCGAACAACCCAAACAAAAGAACAGAACAGTGCTAAGACGGACAAACAGTAACTGCAAGCAAATCACACAAAACACTTGAAGAGCTATCTCAGTCAAAGCAAAATGACCAACCACCACCAGAGTCAGGTTTGTGAACAGCAATAAACCTCCTTTCCAGGAGCTGCTATTCCCTAAAGGTCTAATGAAGAAGCCCTTCAAACTGCCCACTGCTCTGCTGAGGATTGACACAGACCCTGCTCTTCCTTATTTCTTCTGCAATGATGGGACAAGGGGCAATGGATGCAAATAGAAACAGGGGAAATTTAGGTCAGATATTAGTAATATTTTTTTCCGTAAGGGTGGTGAAACACTGGATCAGGTTGCCCAGGGAGTTGTGGACGCCCTAACCCTGGCAGCGTTCAAACCCAGGCTGGATGAAGCCTTGAGCAATCGGGTCTAACAGGGAGGTGTCCCAGTCCGTGGCAGCGGGGGTTGGGACTAGATGATTCTAAGGTCCGTTCCTACTCCTAAAATTCTATGATTCTTTTGAAGTCTGCACCTGCCTCTTCTGACACAGAGATGGAGCTCAAACTTGTTTGGCCCCAGTATGATTTCCAAACCTTCCTGATATCCCGGGGCTCATGCCCTCCATCTTTATGACTCTGCATGCTTGGAAGACTAGGCTGTAGAAAGTGGGAGAGTGAACTCAAGGGAGGAGCAGCAAGGACAGGGTAGACAGACCTGCACAGCTGGAGGCTGTGGAGGTGGGGTGCACAATCCAAGTACATGCTTCTGCTTTTAGGGAGGAAGCCAAATGCCACACGCTACGTTTTTTTATGAAGCTGAGACTCCAAATGTAATAAATCAAAAGAAACAAAAACAACTCAGAAAGTATGGCAATAATACCTAATCTCACTTAGAAAAACTGGGTCTTAGCATTTCTATGTATCAAAAAGGTGCAAACCTCTCATTGCTACTGCATGACCACATGACTATCTCCTAGCATACTCCTGAAAAAGCTGCAGCCCACGGCCTGGACAGGGGCACTCTCTGCTGAGTTAAGAACTGGCTGGATGGCCCAGAGAGTGGTGGTGAACGGTGCCACATTCAGCTGTTGGCTGGTCACCAGTGGTGTTCCCCAG